GTGTTTATTTTTTTCTACTTCTTCTAAGTCCCTAAAGGCGTAAGATCATGAGTCAGCAAACTACATTTAAACACAACAAGAACACTGACATACAAGATACTTATGCTGCTGTTAGAGTACAAGTAACATTTCATTCAATTCATATATATTTATTTTCATACCTAGATATTTTATAGATATTTTATTTATCACAAAGGAAAATAAAGGCTGCCATAATTCAAATTACAGATATCTTGTCATGATTCTTTTAAGGACAGCCAACTTCTAACTTTAGTTTTTTTCCTGTAATTAAGCTGTGCATTCGTAGGCTATTTGCTCATCGATCAACGTGTCTTGTTAACAGAGAACAGCAGATTATATTCAAACATTTTTGGTACTTTTTACATGATGTCTGTTTCTGACTTTAATTAAACTGGTATTAAATAAGTACACTGATTTAGAAGCATAAAAAACACAGAGTATAATTAGTTTATTTTTATTCTGTGTTAAAAACAGATTCAAACATATATACAAGAAGAATGACATATTTTTAATAGTATATTAAGTACTTACAAATGGTAATAATAATCAAATGTATGTAAAAACAACAAATAATTACATCCATGTAAAACAAAAAATCTCTTGAAAATCTCTAGAACAAACAAGTGTGTGACAGTACATTGAAATCCTAGTGAGGTATGTAGCTTTTCTTTATTGTGAACGTTAGTCACATTTGGTGCATTTGAATAAAAAGAAACTAATTCTTCAGCACAAAACAAAAAAGTATATAAAATGTTTGAACAATAGATGAACCTTACAGGAGATTTACTCTGAATATTTTTCAAATAATAATAAAAAATTTGGTAAAGTCAATGTCTGGAAAGATTAAGAACAATAAAAACACCTAAATATGGTTAAGATTATCATTTAGAAATGGTTGAATAAGATGCAATAATATTTGTGATGTTGTTTTTACATTACTTTGGATTTTTTTTTTTATTTTATTAAATTGTTAATTTAGTGTTTAAGTTTAAAAAACTTAAAAGCTGAGCTCTATATTCCCTCATCTCATAGGAAATTCTACTGAAATGTCTGCTGCTGTGTAGCAACACTGTATTACCGTAAATCCTCTAATATTGGCCTTTATTCCATTAGCAGCCGGGTCTCTAATAAAGGCCTGTCTGGCTGTCGGCGGAGGAAAATAATGGCCGGACTCTTATACAGGCCGGGGCTATAATAAGAACCAACGATGTTCCTGGGCAGTCCTCAACAACTTGTTATAGTAACATACAAGTACCACTGGAGATGTTTGCTAATGAATCGAAGCCATTAGCATGGGAAGTCCCATCCTTAGCGCAGACAGTGCAGCAGACAGGAGGCGCGCTTGTTTTGTGTGTATGACCGAAATTGCGGAAAACAACTCGTGAAGTTGGACCATCTAAAAGAGAGAGGTGCGTGAGAACGCTGGGACCCTTTTTCCACCTCGATCTCCGCTCTTCTTTGCCGTCATGTCCCTCCTTCACTGTGATGGCAGAATAGTTTCCATTAATTTTATACTTTGTTTTGCAAGTCAGTTTGGCCAAGATTCCATTCTGTGTCTTTTTTTTTTTTCTTATTGCCGTGCAAAAAACTTGCAGCTGCTAGAAGATGTCTGAATAATGTTCTGTATACCGTAATGGTAACTTTACTTTTTCAACAAATTAACCTAGTATTTTATAGGTTCAAAGAGAGACAAAATCTCGTTTTTATTCATTCCACTGGTAGTCTGTTTTGATCAAATAGAAATAGAAGCCTGCCTCTAATTCTGGCCTCCTTCCAAAAATGGCCTGGACCGAGATGTACCTATATTAGAGGATTTAAGTAATTGAATAAATGTGCATGCTAAACTGGAAGGCGAAGGAAGGGAAAGATTTTCATTGTGTATTTTTGTAGTTAAAGTGTTAAACTAAGTGATAAACTGAGACTGTTTGTAACATTTATCATTATTTAAGATATTTTTATTACTTTTTTATCCTATTCTTAAATAGCTGCACTGTGATATGTTCATCAGATTCCAGCTTGGATTCTTTCTGCAGGGAGCTTTATGTTTTCCTATTCTTCCTCCTTCACTCTAAAACAGATCAGTGGATGAATTTAAACAGATTTTAAACAGTTTGCAACTGAATTTATCCTTTCTTGTTAGGAAAATCAGAAGGAATGATAGAAAGGTTCTTAAAGATGAGTGACTTCATTCTATAATCATTCAAACGGACACAAAGGATTGTATGTTTTTTCATACAAAGCAAGATAGTTAGAAATGAACTCAAATATGTTTGGTATTGCATCCTCAGTTGTTTGCTGTACAGTTTTTTGACCTGCTTCCTTTAATAACTCGATGGTAAGAGGGGGTGCCTCTAATGTGTTTTTTAACCAGCGGAAGATTAAAATAGAGACTCCAACTCCCAGTGTAGCCTTTATCCAAAGAGGAAGCTCTGCTGATTGTTTTTTTAGAACAATACTTTTCACCTGCCGTTTGATTTCATCCTCTGACATGTTTTCTGATGAGAGCTTTAAAAGTTTTATTTCCTTTTGTATATCTGTCTCTATCTCATTCAGTATTGTATTACTGAAGTGTCCTCCTTTGTTTTTGATTAATATCTTGTCAATAGTTTTGAACAGCTCTGCCAGCTGGAACTTGTTGCTTCTATATTCTTCCTCCTCGGTGTTCCTCCAGTATTTGTTATCAAAAACATGGCAGCGACCTCCACACTTCTGCACCAGTTCCCACAAGCCATCGCTTTGAGCAGCGTACTGCTGTATGTTCATCCCTTCAGGGAGCTGGTCACCATGAGTGAAGATCACAGCAGCGTATTTCAGGGCATCATCAGAGAAATACCGACGTATTTTAGCGATGACATCCTTCTCTTGCTCTGTGTATTTTTCCACTTTAAGAATAATCAGAAAAATATGAGGCCCAGGGGCGCTCTCTATCATACATCTCATTAACTCAGACTTCACGGTCTTCTGAGGCCTGCCTGAGTCAAACAAACCAGGAGTATCAATCAAAGTAAAGTTTCTTCCATTGACAAATTTGGTTTTTGCTTCAGTGGTAAAGGATTTTGCATCATTAAACTCTTTTAGTTTAAATATGGCTTCTCCGAAAATGGTGTTGGCCAGGCTGCTCTTCCTATTTTGACTTTCCCCCAGTAGGACAATTCTTAATGTGGCTGGACCTAAATGGAAATAACAACAGTAAATCATTACAATAATTCTGCCTATGAACTGGAAGACAAAAACACTGTTAATTAGGAACAACTATGGCTAAATCAGAGCCTTATCCAACCCTTCTATTTCAAAACAGTTTTCTTGTGTTAAAAGGATTAAATATTATTTTACACTTTTACAATTTCCATGCATACGCTTAGAATTGCCCAGCATGTAAAATTTGTTCTTCTATATCTACTGCAGTCTATAGGCCTTATTATTCAATTTAAAAAAAAAACAATCAAGGTACTACTCTCTGGGCATGTGTGTCAATGTGACATCCTGTGTGCTCCTATTCACCTGGCTACTTTGTTTAGACCCGGCTGCACATTAGCAAGAAAACATCACCACTATATCTGAAGATGGATTGCAAAAGGACAGCTAAAAGTCCATCTTGAAACCCCATCCTTTACACGGGGGTAGGAAAATAACTTTTTACTACTGTGAAGAAAAGGTGCAAATTAGAGTCCGATCAGGAGCTAAATATGACTAGAGTAAATCTTCTACAAAACATATGCAAAGAGAAAATGCTGCAAGCAGTAAAACTAATTAAAGTAGAGAAATTGTGCAAACTAGTGCCAGAACAGAAGTAATGCAGATAAATAGGGGTTTACCATGAATCTCATCTATTGAGATTTGTAATCTATGGTCTGGAATCATATGTGTTGAAGATCGTCTTCCCGTAATGATCTGCAGCGCTTCTATTTTCTGGTGCTAGCTAGATTTTAATAACTTGCAGTTATTGTTGCAACTTGCTACATTTCCTTTTATAGCATGTTCTTGCAGGTTGTGTCTTTGTAGGGTATTTGCACATTTCTGCTCTCTACTTTCTTTGCTTGTAGGACAGTGATGGGAGTGACAGCGTTGAAAGTAATGGCGTTACTAACGCTGTTA